TCGTAAATTCTCTCTGCATTATGGAAATACACACAAAAGCACGCATACATATAGCTAAACACCTCTAAAGTAGGAAATATTGTTTTATTTCCAAATCTGGTTCATTGGAACCAAGTAAAATAGAATCTAAATCTCATATGAGACACTTTTTTCTAATTTGAGTAAGAACGCTATATATGCTCAAACTTATTGCTACATATATGGAGCTATTAACAAGTACTATACAAGTAAATAGCATTAAAGGTTGGCTCTTCTTTGTCAGAACGGTTTTTTACTGGTCTTTTCTGATATGTGTCCAAACTATCTCAGAAGTCTATTCACACACTGATTTAGTTTTTTTTTTTTTTGCAATTCCAAAGGAATTTTTTACCCATGTGCACGTTTTTAAGAGTCTTCCTGATCGACCTGATTTTTCACCAAATACCTTTCCTTTTCTGATCTACCTGATATCTTTTTTCTCTTTTTTTTGAAACTCTATCTACCTGATTTGTTTCCTCTCTAAAATTAATAATCTTCGTTTTAGCAACTATGCATCGGATTGATATATTTTGAATGTTATATACATAAAACTTATGTACAAGATGATTACCTGGAGGAGCTAGAGAACTCATAAAGTTTGCCTCTAGGAGAGAAGATGATTAGGGCAACTTCAGCATCACAAAGAACTGATAATTCAAAGGCTTTCTTCAATAGTCCATTTCTTCTCTTAGAAAAAGTCACTTGCCTGCTCGTTGCGTTCTCTATCCTCTTCATCTCTGTCTTTCCCCTCACCATTCTTCTATTTTGATAACTAGTCTTATTTCATAAATCAAATACTTTAATTAGATTTTAATTAGTCCTACTTTAAATGAAAAAAAAAACAATTGAACCTAGCTACTTGGTTTCTACCCATGAAAGAAATTAGATTGAAACCATTCTTGAATTCCAAATAGACAGATTTCTAACCAACAACATCAAAGTTATTACGCGAGCAATAAACATGATTCAATCTTCTGCTATATATTGAAAAGAGATCAAACAGAAATTTTAAGACAGATTTGAGAAGAAGAAACAATTACCCTTTTTCTTTTGTGTATGCGTTTGACTGATTTGTGTCTCTA